GTTGGAGGATGGGCCCCTTGAAATACACTTGGAATTTGTTCCTCCAGATGAAGCAATCAACCAAAGTTTTTATCTGGAAGCTTTGAGAAGGTTACATCACCATTTGTGGAAGAAATGTTTCGAGTTGTGGCAAACAGGAGACTGGTTTTTCCATCATGACAATGTACCTGCCTACACCTCACTGAGTGTTCTGCAGTATTTTGTTTTGTTTTTGAGTTGGAGTCTCACTCTGTCACCCAGACTGGAGTGCAGTGGCCACTCCCAGCCACCGCAGCCTTGACCTGCTGGGCTCTGGCGATCCTTCCACCTCAGCCTTCCAAGTAGCTGGAACTACAGGCACGTGCTACCACTCCCGGAGAGATGAGGTCTCGCCAAGTGGCCCAGGCGGGTCTCGAACCCTCAGGCTCAGGCAATCCACTCACCTCAGCCTCCCAAAGGCATGAGATTACAGGCTGAGCCACTGAGCCCAGCTTGTTCTGCAGTGTTTGACCCAAAATGGCATGACCCTCATTTCCCACCCTCCTTATTCACCCAATCTTACCAAGAGTGACTTTTTTTGTTTCCCTGGATGAAAAAAGCCCTCAAAGGGAAACATTTGCCAATATGGAAGAAGTGAAACAAAAACGGCAGAAACACTACAAGGCATCAAAATTGATAAGTTCAAAAACTGTTTTGAGCAGTGGAAAAAGGATCTCGAAAGAGATCCTTGCATCACATAGAGAGTATTTTTTTTTTTTTTTTTTTGAGTTAGTCTCACTCCATCGCTCCCGGCCACCGCAGCCTCGACCTGCTGGGCTCCAGCGATCCTTCCGCTTCAGCCTTCCAAGTAGCCAGAACTACAGGCGCGCGCTACCACGCCCGGCTAATTTTTGATTTATTGTAGAGATGAGGTCTCGCTAAGTTTCCCAGGCGGGTCTCGAACCCATGTGCTAAGGCAATCCACTGAAGTCAGTCTCCCCAAGTGCGGGATTACAGGCTGAGCCACCGAGCCCAGTTTCACAGTATTTTGAAGGTGCCTGAAATATAAACATGAAAGAATAAATACACAATTCTTTAATAAATAAATTCCGGGGTTTTGGGGTCTCCCCTCGTGTGTTCTTTATAGATATCAACATTCATCCAAGGTTACTAGTCAGAAACCTATATCCTTCTTTCAATCTCCACACTTTTTCATCATCAGTCAAGTCAATTCTACATTATCTGCCAAAGTATTCTCGTTTCTCCATTTCCAACACCAGTGATTGGCTTGAGCTCTCAGTATTTCCCACCTTAACTATAATAACAGTTTCCTAATTGGTCTGTCTGCCTCTTGTCTCAATTCCCGCCTACCATTCTCACTGCTGCCAAGTTTATCTTTCGAAAGGCATTTCTCATCATGCCTTACCCAGCTTAAAATGCTCCCCATTGTCTACTATATAAAGTCTTAGTTCTTCAGTTGGTCATACAAGGCCCTTAATTTATTTTGGATAGCCCTCTCACATACAAGCCAAGCAAAACTAAAGTACTTATAGTTCAGCTATGCTGTTTTCTGGTGCTGTGGTTTTTGTAAATGCTGATCTCTCTGCTTGGATTGTTTTGGCAAGACTTATGCAATTTCAAATCTAGATCAGATGTCACCTCCTCCAGGAACTATTGATAAAGAACTCAACAAACATTTATTGAATACTGCCTATAGTCCAGATACTATGCTATAGGCTGAACATACAAAAAAATGCATAAGACATAGTCCAAATCTTCTAACATTAGTTATTTTCAGTTCTTGCCTCCCAAAGTGTCTGGCGCATGATTTTTACTAACCCGATTCTTCATTTTCTTTCCTGTGGACCTCAAAAATTGTCTCCATTCTTGATAAATACCGTACACATCATAAATGTACAAACATTACATTATTCTCAAATACAGATGTACCCACAATATTCAGAAAACATTTACAGACACAATTTCATTCAGGAAGTATAATTATAAATGATGAGATCACAGCTTAGCACTTTGTGGTCAGACCCTGGCTCAGTCAACACACAGAGGCACAGATTGGCTAGGGTAGTGATTAACTCTATAACTTATAAGCTGGGTGACTTTGTACGTCATCTGTAAAATGGGAACAATAATAGTCCCAGCTTCATAGTGTTGTTGAGATAGTTATTTAAGTTAATATAAAAGTGCTTAAAATAATGCCTAGCATAATATGTTTATTAAAAGATAACTATTAATGTTAGTTTATATATAAGGACAGTTGTCTCAGTCACTATCAGCAGGTCAAGTGATTTTTACTTTATATCTACAATGAAGAACTGGTTTTTGTTCTGAGTCAAATATATACTCTTATCTAATCTTTATTGAGCTAATGGCACATGTTGGAAGAATGGCCCAGGAAAGCCCAGAGCTGTGAAACTGAGTTTTCCCTTATGTAGAGCTAAGGGAAAGACACTACAATAGCACACACTGATAGAGTCAACTAGCTGTAAATACAGACTCAAGAGTAGCTGGGTGAGGATCTATAGAGTAATAGCTAAGAGCGCAAGCTCTGGTGTCAGATCACCTCACTTAGACTCGTTGCTCTACCACTTACTAGCTTTGTGTCCTTGAGCAAGTAATCTCTTTGTAATTCAATTTACAGATCTATAAAATGGGATTGATAATAACAGCCCTTATTTCATACAGTTGTGGGAATGTAATGAGCTAAAGCATGTGAAGCCCTAAGAACACTGCTTGGTACAGAGCACATTATAAACGGTGAAAAAATAAGAGGCACACAGTAGACAGAGAAACAGATAGAAACAGAATTAGCCTAAGTGTTCACTTCAAGAGAAGCAATGGAGGTAGATGTCCAACTGAATGACGGATTTCCAAGACAAAATGAGGAAATTCTAATTCTACTGTCTTAAGATAACCTTTGTTAAAGTCTTTTTTTTTTAATTGTTGTTTCTGTAGAAGTCTCTAACTGACTTTCCCCCGATTTTGTTTGGTTTAAACTACCAGGATTTCCCAGAATGTGTTCCACGAAAGATCTGCCTTAAACTATGTGTGAGAATAAACGGGTTTGTGGTTGAATAACCTTGGGTAATCCTGTATGCCATATTCCTTTGAAGAGTCAAATGTACATTAACACCCTACGGGTTTAATAAGTCCTGAAAAAATGCTTCATTTAGTTTAATCCAACATTTCTTAATCACAGGGCCCTTTCTTTCATATGCTATTTATTAACATTCCATGGAACTACTGTTCCATGGAACAAACATGGAGAAACCCTGACAGATGAATATTAAAATGCTCTTTATATCAAAGCAAGGATTGAGGGGCATGGGAGGGAGCTGTGGGAGGAGAAGGCTCACATTTTTTTTAGACTGGGATTGAAAATTTACTGAGGACAATTCACAAAGTCAGAAACCATACAAATCGCTCAAGGTCACAGACGCCCAAACACACACAATATTGCTGGGAGTATGCACAGGGTCTCTGGAGCCCCCTTTACTCTGGAGCCCTCTCCTTCTAGTGCTGGAATCCCACTGTGAAAGATCTAAAGGTTCCTAAACATATTTTACCATCTGACCTTGACCACGTGCTTCTGAATTTACTTTCTGGAAGAGGCTACAAGAAAAACATTTATGTGAAGAGGCCCACTGAGAAAACCAGAGGCCAGATAGAAATGAAAGGGGAGGAAGAAAGAGAAGAAGACAGGGTTGAGAAGTCAAATCAGATCCAGGAAAGGATGCTTTTCCAGCTGGAGGTGAGATAATGACTAAAACAGCACCAGTGAAAAGGTTCCTTCACAGAAGAGGAGGGCAATATGTTGGCTTCTAAGGTCAGTGACCAGAGTGAGAGCTTCCTGAAAACATGCACCTTCATAATTCTTTCTTTCTTTTTTTTCTGAGTCAGTGTCTCACTTTGTCACACAGGCTGGAGTGCAGTGTCACACTCAGAAAAATGTGATGACTGATAGAGTTTCTGCCATTGAAAACAGAGAGACAGATTACACACTGGGTGAGAAGAGACCTAGAGTCTTTGCAAAGTCAAAGATCAAAACTTTTATCGTGCGAGGTTAAAACTTTGAGATTGTCAAGTTCTGTGAGGGGCTGCAGAGTAACAATATAGTATGAGGAAACAAATAAAAAGAAATATATATATTTATTTATTTTGAGTCAGAGTCTCACTCTGTCACCCAGGCTAGAGTGCTGTGGCATAATAAAATCTACCACAGCCTTGACCTGCCTGGCTCAGGCAATCCTTTTCTCTCAGCTTTCCAAGTAGATGGGACTACAGGTGTGTGCTACTACACCCTGCTCACTTTTTGGTTTGTTGTAGAGATAAGGTCTCGCCAAGTTGCCCAGGCTGGTCTTGAACCCCTGGGCCCAGGCAATCCTCTCACTTCAACCTCCCAAATTGCTGGATTACAGGTGTGAGCCACCACACCTGGCCAAAATATACTAATGTTAACAATGCCTACCTATGGAAAGGGGAAGCAGAATTTTTAAAATTTCATTACTTTATATTTTTCTTGCTGGGTGCAGTAGCTCACAATTGCAATCCTAGCACTTTGAAAGGCCAAGGGCAACACAGGAAGACCCACATCTCTATTCAAGAAAAGGGGAGGAGGACAGACTTGCAAGAAGCGAGATTTCCCAAGAATTCCGGGCGACCGTGCCAACAGGCGTCCTGGGCGGGCGGGGTGAGTCGCGGGCGCGTGTTCCAGGGGCGGGGGGACCCCAGGTAGGGAGGTGACGGCGGTCCTC